TGGAGACTAATCTCATACAATGCATACACTAGGACACCCAGATCCCTGTGTGTCTGGACACTAATCTTGTGCAATGCATACACTAGGACATCCAGATCCCTCTGCACCTCCGAGCACTGCAGCCTCTCCCTGTTTAGAGAACGAGCTTCCTTTCAATCCTCTTTGTCAAAGTTTCACACTTTCCCAGATCACCGAAGGTCAGGGAAAAAGACACAGTGCAGAACGGGTGGCAGTGAGATGGACGAGAGTGTTTGCACACTGCAGCAGTGCAGTGAAGAGGTGCTGGAGGATGGTGACAAAGCCTGAGGGTAGTCTGCAAAGGACAAAGAGAGAGAGTTTAACACGGATGCAGGAAGAATAGAGGTAGATCGGTGGTCAGTACTGCTGCCTCACAGCGCCAGGGACCCAGGTTCAATTCCACCCTCTGGGTGACTGTCTGTGTAGAGATTGCACATTCTCCCCGTGTCTGCGTGGGTTTCCTCCCACAGTCCAAAGACGTGCAGGGTAGGTGGGTTGGCTGTGCTAAATTTATTTTATTCACTAATGGGATGACGGTGTCGTTGGCCAGGCAGCATTTATTGCCCCATCACTAATTGCCCCGAGGGCAGTTCAGTCAACCACATTGCTGTGGGTCTGGAGTCATGTGTAGGCCAGGCCAGGTAAGGATGGCAGTTTCCTTCCCTAGAGAACATTAGTGAACCTGATGGGTTTTTCCAATAATCGACAATGGATTCCCATTCATCATTAGACCCTTAAATCCAGATATTTTTATTGAATTCAGATTCCACCATCTGCCGTGGTGGGATTTGAACTTGGGTCCCCAGAACATTATCTGGATTAACAGTCCAGCAATAATACCACTAGGCCATCACCTCCCATAATTGCCCCGCAGTGTCCAGGGATGTGCAGGCTAGGTGGGTTAGCCATGGGAAACGCAGGGTTACAGGGATGGGGCGGGGGGGAGTTGGGTCTGGATGGGTTGGGCTTTGGAAGGTTTGGTGTGGGACTTGATGGGCTGAATGGCCTGTTTCCACACTGTAGGGATCCTATGAGGAACTGAAAATTATTCAAACGGAGAAAGACCGCAGGAAACTCCAGAAGAGAGGGATTTGGGAATCCTTGTACATGGATCACAAAAAGCTCACATCCACGTCCAGTAGGTAATAGAGATGGGGAATGGAATATTGTGCTTTATTTCCAAGGGAATGGAGTAGAAAAGTTGGGAGGTTTTGCTAAAACTGTACACGGTGCTAATCAGGCCATAGCTGGAATATGGTGAACAGTTTTGGGGCCCCGTATCCAAGCAAAGATGCTTGCATTGGAGGCAGTGTAGAGAAGGTTCACTTGGCTGATCCCAGGGATGGAGGGACTGTCTGTGAGGAGAGTTTGAGTAGGTGGGGGTTTGTATGCATTGGAGTTTAGAAGAATGAAAGGTGACTGTATTGAAACATATAAGATTCTTAGGGGGAAATTAACAGGGGAGATGCGGAGAGGGTGTTTCCCCCTTGTGTGGGAGAGTCGAGGACCAGAGGGACATCATCTCAGAGTAAGGGGTCAGAGGTGAGGAGGAATTTCTTCTCTCCAAGGGGAGTGAATCTGTGGAATTATTTACCGCAGAGGGCTGTCGGGGCTGGGCCACTGAGTATATTCAAGGCTGAGAGAGATTTTTAGTCAGGAAGGGAATCAAAAGGGTTATGGGGAAAAGGCAGGGAAGTGGAAGTTGGGGATGATCAGGTCTCATTGCACGGCGGAGAAGATTCGATGGGCTGAACGGCCTTCATCTGCTCCAATGTTTGACGAGACTTGGATTTGGCAGAGATGGGAACCCGGATCAGAGGAGTCGCAAGGTGGCATTCCGTGAAAGACAGGCTCAGATTTGGGAGGCACCAGCACAGACCAGGAGAGGGGAAGGTGGGGGGTGGGGGGG